TCTGCGGTTTTGATACTTATCAATGAATTTCTCAGGGTAGCCGTTTCCAAGCTACCAGTTTCCAGTTAATTCTCTTATTAATAGGCAACGACCGTTTGCAGCTGATTGAGAGGTCACGAAATTTCATGACGTCATTAAATCCTGCTCAACTCGTGATCTCCGCCTTGTTCAAGTTTCTTCCAGGAAACCAATGTTTCAATTATCCGAATTATGTCCAGTTTAGTTTCAAAATAAAAGTGGTCAAAAATTGTTCATAAAATACTCAATTTAGAATAGATAACTAATATTCACAGATATCCCCGAGGTAGGTACCACGCCAAAGAGGGTTTATCGCGTGCCGAAGGCCAGCTTCAGGGCAATCCAATCTACGTCCAGAATCCTGAAACTTCGATGACTAGAAATCATGTTATTACTCAACGGCCCAGTATCGATCATCATTCTTTTTCCCAGTATGGCGCACTTTCATTTCAAGCTCGCTGTTTTTTGTGCAACTTTGAGCGAGCAGGAAGTGTCAACACAGAAAAATAGATGACCGAATAAAAGTAAGATGAATGACTCGACTCCGATTTAATCTTTATTATCACTCGTTTATTTTTGTCTTTTAATAAGAGCTGTTTTTGAAGTCAATTGACTGTAGATTGAATTCCAAGGTAAACGCTGAAACATTACCAATGATAATCGCGGTAGATATGTAAAACGCATTCGGAGAACTTTGTTTATGGAAAGTTTCCTGGCTGTCCAGATGAAGTATTTTCGATTTGAAAAATACCCAAATTTTTGAAATTTTTGGCTTTATCAAATATCAAGCGCATGTAAAACTGTGAAAACCGTAGTATAAATCAAGTACAATGGAGTCTCGGGTGACGAGCAACTCCATTTACGAACATTTTGGTTAACGAGCGAGCTGCAGAACGGTTGTTTCAATTGACGAGCTTCTTCTCAGTAAAGGAGTTGTCAGAGCGTGTGTTGTGTGCGCCTGTGTCCGCCGTTAGGTCTTGCGCCCAGAGCGTGGGCCCTCGGTCACCTGCAGCTAATCAGTGAACAGGTAAATTTTGCTTGGCTATGATCCGCAAGATGAGAGTTCCAAATGACGGATTGGACTCGCTAATCGGGGTTCCAGTGTACAAGCAAGTATCACTTAGAAAGTTCCTCGGCATAAAGGACGAAAAAATAGTTGTTGAGACTGAGGTATAAAAATATACTGGGCACCAGAAGTATGCAGAGAAGCAATGCTTTAACTATTCTAACAGCTTTGAAATAGAAAGGGCTTGGGATTAGTTATCTAATTCAAGAACCTGAGCCTAAACGGAATGCCCCATCGATAGGTCACGGGAAAAGGAAAGCCTCCCTCTCGCACGTAACACGGCCGACCGTGCTCTAAATTTCAGGCAAACACTCTCTTCTCATATCTCTAGCACTAACCCTCACCAAAATCTTGCCTATAATATACATACACCCTACTCATACCCTTAACCCTAACCATAATTTTCACAGAAGTTAGCGCAAGCCCAACTATATAACGTGCGGTTCATTCTACTATGTCCTGTCGGCGGGGTGGTCAGACAAGAGTTCCTTACCTATACGTTCGCTAGACGTTTAACCCCTTTTTTTATAAACATCCCTACTATCAAGATACTAGCCCTCACCAAGCCATTTCACGACCTTTCCCAATGACAGGAGTTTGGATATCCTTCTCGAACGACTATATTTCACACGGATGGTGGTAAGGATAGATTGTCAGCCGGAACTACCCCCATAAGAGAGAGGTAGATTATATGGAGTTAGTTTGACCTATTCAAAAAAGATGGAATCGCCTTCCGGCTGAGAAAAGAAGAAATGGGAGTGCGAACGGCATCATTCTCGCACGTATCATTAATTCTGGACGTCATGTTGACCCCAGCGATGTTTTCTGTGTGATTTAAAGGTCCCGACACTATGCTAAAGGTCCGGAACTTGCATGCAATTCACCGCTTTCTTCTACTTCCCTTACAGGTCTTTTTCAAACCCCTTTCCCACATACCAATTGCATGAAAATATGCATTTTACTCGATGCCTCTTAACTCTAATTTATTTGACTTAATCTCGTTCTCATATAAATATCTTGGCCTGATGAGAATTTATCGGACACAAACATATGCTCTTCAGCTAGGCTTCTGAATTTTACAAGAATCTATTTCACTGTGAGGAAACAGAAGAAACACAATGCATCCTTTTGTCCCTAGGTACTGGTTTAAGAAGACCGATGTCGTGCAAGCACGAAGACATGTATGCATTAGCTGCGGCTAAGATTAGCAGTATGGTTTCACGAAGACCAACCGACAAAGGAAACTAGGTATTTCTGGCTTATTTTTCTTCAGTAGCCAGTAAACTCGGAATACGCAGTCTGGATTCTAAACTATGCCAGCGAACCATTGAGCAGCACTCTCGCCATTGTACTAATGGGCTTACGGAATGTTGAATGAGATCGGGAGTAAGCGTGCAGCCATTTACCCAGATTGAAGGACAGTGTGATTATTTGCCCTAGCTCAAGTACGTCAGCAAGGAGGAAAAACCACTCGGGCGAACAAAATTGCCCCAGATTTTGGAGCTGATGATTAACAGTCTACGCAGGCTGTAGGAGAGAGACTAAAAAACAATAATTAACTGACAGAAAGGGACAAAATTTAATAGTTTGCGTCTCAGTGAGAGCTATTTGTCAGTAGTACCCCGAAACAAGCTCCCACAGCCTTACCTCCAAGATGAGGAATAAATGACCTTTGCAGTTCCACAGTCAGAAAAGATTGGTGCAACCTAATCTCGCCCTCCTGGGTTATATATTATACCTATATATATGATGATACTTTGGAGCGCAGTAAAATATCGCCTTTAAGATAAGTCAGGGCGTCAGCAGCGATTCCAGCAAACGAAGTCATGATCCCCTTCGATGTGACTTCCTTATTCACATTCATCCCACTAAACATGGCACACGAAATCTTGCGCAAGAGACTTGACGAGACATATGATGAGGCTCGATACCCACTCAAAATTGAACACATTGCGGGGTTATTTGAATTTTTCCAAGAAACGTACTTTACCTTTGTTGGAGAAAACTACGAACAGATAAAAGGAACTCTCCGATCACCGATCTCCCGTTTATTGACAGAACTGGTCCTACAAGAGCTAGAAAACACCACCTTCACCCAACATGAGCTTGTCATTTGGTGTCGTTACGTTGAGGATATGTTTGTTATCAGCATGAAGTAAATACTGAAAAACTTCCATAACCTGCTCAATAAAAGCTTTCCTGACATATAATTGACGAGGGAAGAAGAACAAAAGCAGCAGCAGCTGCCTTTTCTTGATGTCCTCGTCAAAAGAATGTCCAAGGGTGAAATTGAGACAACGGTTTACATGAAGGCAAGGAACAAAAAGCAAATTCTTAGTTTTCACAGGAACCATACGGTTGCTCTCAAACGAAACTGTGTAAAATGCTCTTTAAACAAATTCGGACTCACTGCAGTAAGCCGGAGGAAATGGAACACGATGCTCGGTATCTCCGCAACCAGTTTATGCGCAATGGTTATCCGAAAGCATGTATAAACTGATGCCTACGCGTTGGGCCCCCAGAGAACCCAAACAGAAGAACCACCGAGGATATGCACGCTTTTCCATACATCAAGGACGTCTCAGTAGCGATTGAGCGCATCGCTGCGAGACTAGGTGTTGGAATTGCATACAGACCCCTGAGCTGACATGCGCAGCAGGGTAATGAAAATAAAGGACCATCTTACTCCCAATTAACAATCTGGTTTAGAGTAGCGCATCCCATGTATAAGATGTCCTTGTAATTACGCAGGCCAAACCACATGCTCGGGTCGTGCATACATGAACATAAGCCAGCCGTACGACGTGGAGATGAATTATCACAAGTTGCTGCTCATACCCATGAAATAAGCCATGAGTTTAACTACGCGGCCGTCAAGGTACTCGCCTACGCCGTAAACAAAACGAGCTGAGAACTGATTGAAACCTGGTCCACGGACGGGCATTCGATCAACGGAAGTATCGAATTGGCGTCGGCGTACAGAGCCGTGCACAGTCACGTGCAGTCACGCTCAGACGTCCGTCACAGTTAATTGGCGCGCATTATCTATACTTGCCCCCCTTTTCCTGGCTGACGCCCTGACGAACCTTGACATCACTGACAGTTAATTAACCTATGCCTCTATAACTGTCCCCCTCCCCTTCGTTTTTCATCACTTTTTCTTGCCCCTCACGATCTGACGACCCCAACAGTTGTTTGGTGTACACCCACAATAATTAACCCTTTTTTGCTGTTTCTTTTATCTGACGATGGACTCCTGTAAGAGATCGAAAGCTCAGGATAATAAGCCAATTGATCGGGTGCTCGACAATCCTTCTTCCTTATCCAGTATTATTATAATCCGTGCAAATCTGCCTCTATTTCAGTCAGTGAAGCAGAATTTATTATGACATCCTAAGGGTATAAAAAGGTATTAATTATTACCTGCTTCACCGTGCCTGACCAAGTCTGGAGGCCCCAGGAAACGCGAGGAAATAATGGGTGCTTCATCGTTCTCATCCAGAATG